AGACGAGAGGCACTAAATGGAGCCTGTAATCATTGTTGGTCAGAAAATTAAGAAGATAAACTCATTTCATTCCAAGATATTGTTTTAGAAAATGTAAATGGTTAACCATCTTTTTGAAGAGCTGGCCTAAAAATGAAGTTGAAGTCATTATCAACTGACTACATATTTTTACATTCTTATATAACATATGTAACAATTAGGAAGTTCATATAATGGAAAGAGCATAGTCTCTGGAGTTTAAATTTCTTTAATTCTACATACTAACTCAGTAATATTGAATAAATCAGTTAATCAATGAGCATTAGTTTCCTAATATGTAAAGTGGAGGTGATCAGATATAAGTTTTTGTAAGTATTGGAAGTAAAATTCAATAAGATTTATTTAACTTAAAAAATTTTAATTTGTCAGGCGAAGTTCCTGACATGTAAAAATATAAACCTAAGTAAACAAAACAAAGACATGTTATAGAAGAAAAACAATGAAGCTCTTCATTTTAGTTAGGGGGAAAAAAAATCAAATCTACTAGTTATATTTTGTAATAATGTGGCTGATTCATTTTTCAAAATCCAGTGGGATTTTTATCTGTAGTCCATACAGATTTTTTTTTTCCAAAACAAATTCTACTTGCACTAACAAATACCTCTTGTGAATATTTCTTATTTAATTCAAGATGCTAAAAAATCATAGAAAAAAAATGGTGATAGGCTACAGAGGGTATGTTGAAATAAGATATTTACATTTAAAAAAGAAATATTTTGCGAAGGTAATAAGCTATTACTTCAAAGCTTCTTATTTGTGTAGTTGCTTTAATTTATTCATACCTAAAGATTTACTCTCAATGTTCTATTAGAAATAAAGGGTTAGAATGGCATGAAATAGTTAAAATTATTTTAATAAAAAGTTCCTTTTCTTCCTGATTCAATATGTCACTTCTTTCTTTCTCATTTGTAACATGATAGATATTCCTGTCCTTTGGGTAAAGTATTTGATTGAACATTTAAGTTACTTTTTTAGATCTTCAATTTTCACTGATTAATCTCAGTAATGCCTTGGCTTTTTCACCTCTCACTGCCCTAGCTTTAATATAGTCCAACATTACAGTTAACAAAATTATAAAAATTACAAAAAGTAATTTTTTGTGTACTCTATTCTTGAGAACTATAAATGGTCTTGGAGATTGTTTTTTGGCTGATAACTGATATTTTTAAAAATCATGAGTATTTGCCATGGTTTAATTGAATATTTCAGTACCTTGCACATGCTAAATATTCAACAAATATTGCTGGTTGACACATTTATGTGACAACAATTTTTAAACTGTTTTAAGAGTAAGGTCACAAGTAGATTTTACTAGTTCCTTTATTTATGAGAATTCCAAGTTTCCCATCTATAAAATAAGAGGATTGTATCATGTAAACTTTTTATTTTCTTAAACCTTGAAAGTTATATTAGTCAATGGTTCAAATAGCTGGGTACCATAGCATGGGAAATAAGCAATAGGTTCATGAGTCATTGAGTGGAGATCAAGATTTGCAGCTAATTTTGTTTGAAATTGTAGATCTTGCACACTGACTTTAGGGAGGAAGTATGACAAACTTCTGTGTTGAAAACTGTAGATTCTAAATCTGCTGCACTGGTGTAGGTCTCAGAATACTGAAAAATCATACTGGCTTTTCCTAAGGAAATAAAACCTTGGTTTTGTCTGTACCATGCTAAAAGAAAAAGATTGAGAGTAGAAAATTCAACTATCTAAATGTCTTCAAAAGTAAACATATACTTTTGATAAGTATATTATTTTTAGATCTTTATTCTTTATTAAAGTTTGAATCCTCTGATAATGTTTCAAACCTTTTGTTGTTGTTGTGTTTAGCATATAGATTTAAAAACAAGAGGAGTGAAATTAGGGGGAATATAACTTAAACTAGGTTATTGAATGTTATATGGAAATAGAAAAGAAAAAGGAGACATTATTTCTTTTTATAGACATTGACCTAATAAGTTTTAATTAACAAATGCCATTCTAGATTTAAAAGATATATTAGAACTTATGTTCCTTTTACAGTGAATTTTAAAAATATCAAGTTGATAATAGGAAAAGACAATAATTTTTTAAAAGAAAATGTAATATTTACATCATTTAAACACTAGATAATTATTTTATAGAGGCCTCAAAAAACGTTTTTTTCATATTGCCAACATTAAAATCTGAATACATATTTGCATATTATTAAATAGAAATTTCAACAAAAGACTAATAATTCTTTTTGAAAGAGTAAAATCATTCAGAGAAAAAAACATATCCAAAAGATAATTAATGAATGAATCAATGCTAATGAAAGTAAGAATACCTTGAGAGGTAATAAAATATCAACAATAAAAAGAAAGATACCTAAAATATATGATTTCGGAAATGAAATCATAAAATTGTTGGGTAGCCCCATTTAAAGTAAAATCCCTGCACAATGAGCTAATTATAGCTAGAGGACAATTAAGTTCAGTCTCTAGTGAAAGAGAAGAATACAGAAGAGAGCAGGTGAAAAATTTATTTCCCACAACCAGAACACCGAATGCCTTTTATGGAAAGAATATAATGATAGCTCAAAAGATCCCATCTAAGAAGTAAAAGTACAGGCCTAATCTGGAAACCAGAAGGACATGACAAGTGATTTAGATAGGAACAATGTGATACATGCATTTAACATTAAACAAAAAGGAATCATGTTAAGGTCATGGATAATACCTCTGTTACTTAATAAGAGTTTGATCCTGGACAAGTTATTTTAATCTATTAGAGCCTCAGTTTTTTCATCTGTATAGTAGATATGGGAATAACATTTTTCATGTAGGGCTTTCACGGGGAATAACAGTTTTTTAGAAATCAGTGCAATGCTTGACATACATTAAGTATTAAAAAATATATACAATGCTGTGTTTATTTACTTATTGGTTACAGAATAATACTTTTTCTGTTGATAAGCTTAATATATCTTATATAAACACAATAAGAGTTGCATTTATTGAGTGTTTCTCTGTAGGCAAGACCCTATATCATCTGTAACCTCTGTAATGTCTGTGAGTTATCTCCTGTCATAGTGCTGCTTGTTCTTCAAATACAAGGCTTTCCGCTGGCTGTTGTCTTCCTTCTGGGAGACCCACATAGACATCTATCTTACTTTCTTTGATTTTGCCACTTTCTCTATGATACCTACTCAATATCACATATTAAAAATTGCAGTGTCCCATTCCCAACACTCCCAAATCTCTTACCCTAGACTACTCTTTCTTTTTTTTCTAAGTCACTTTCTAGCATAAGAATACTTTATTTATTAGTTACATCAATTATTGACTTTCTATCTCTCCTCTTTAAATGACAAATTTCACAAATAGTGAGATAATTGTCTACTTTTGTTCATAGTATAGCCTAAGAACCTAGAAAAGTACCAGACCCATAGTAATCATTCAATACACTTTTTGAAGTTGAATTAAATATATAAATTATCTTTAACTAATTAAAAAATAAGCATAATATTATTAGCTCCAATGCGGAGGTAGACTAAGAATACAAGAATTGCTTATTCAAATGTTTATACAGAGTAGGTAGTTGAGCTAAAATTTAATTCCAAACTTTGTGAACCCATAGTTTTTGCTTTTTCTACTCAACCACACCAATTTAGTAAGGAAGAGTAAGAGAGATTTTTCTATTGCCTAAATGGAAGTCACTCAAATAATAGGTTTTGTAATTTAGAATAAAAAATGCTATATACTCTAATCTTTCCCCTTCTGCTTCAATTCTTTACAATGTGATAACATTAGTAGTGAGTAAATTAAAGAAAGGAAATAGTGATGGAACAAGGAAAGGAATAGATCAACTTGAAAAAAAGGGAAGATATTGGTTTTTCAATGAAAACCAATACAAATTATTCCTAGTATATGTGGTTTACTGATATTAAAAAGTATTGTGCATAGGCAATTTTTATAACCAATAAATAAAATTCATTTAATCATAAAGTGTTGTCATTCTATACCACTTAATTATCTAGATTTGCTTTCTACCAGTCTATTTACAAAGACCATATTTCACAATGATTAAG